CAATTCGTCCAGTGGTTTTTGAGTTATGTTAATCCCACAAACGGACATTACATTTTTATTTATATAGATTAAATGTTTTGCAATAAGAATCAGAAGGTGTCGATCCAGATGTTAAAGATTGTCATGTTTTCTTTAGCGGTACTCTGCTTCAAAAGACTTGAACAATGAGCACCATCGAGGTCTCAATCTCATTAATAACTTTGTCTATGTCTATAAGAATCAAGGAAAATTACTATAAAACGATATGGAGGTGGTATCTAACTCCCATTAGATTAAATCAGATTGATAAAAAATACTCAAATCAGTGTTGGAGAGGTTGTCAGGAAATAGGGACGTACCTTCATATGTGGTGGTCATGTAAAATTATACGAAATTTTTGGGAAAGCATCTTCAAAGAAATAAGAGCAATAATAACAATAGAGATTAAGACTACACCATAATTAGCTTTATTACTTATACATGACAATACAATTCCATCACAAGAGGAGAAAGAATTGGTTTCTAATTTGATAATAGCAGCTAAATTGCTAATAGCAAAATACTGGAAAGAAAAAAAGAAATTCAATTAGAAGAATGGTATAGGGAAATTTGGAATATAGCTATTAATGATAAGCTAACCTGCAATATTAAAATTCAAAGGGGAATATGGAAACAAACAGATTTCTGGAAAATATGGGGAAAATTTATTGAGTATATTTTTAATGAGGGAAAGGGGTACAAGCCAGCAACAGAAACAATGACATTTTGGAATTATGAAATAACATGAGTAGGTTGGTCCTGGTGAAGAAGGGGGCACAAACTAAAGGTAAAGGGAAGAGGTGGGAAATGGTATAATACTAATTATAAAGAAATAAAACATGTATAAGTAGATAAAAGGTGTGTGGTAGAGATATACATAGTAGGGCTGGGCAACCACGGAAAAATTTGTTTCTAAACTCGATTCGTTTTTTGGGGTTTTTTGCGTTTCGATATTTAAAAGAATTCCGAAATTTTTCTTTGAAAAAGTTCGATATTTATGAAATTTCGTAAAATTACGAAACGAATTGCGAAACGAATGCAAATCGATTTGTTAATGGCGGACGCGACCGCGCAATACGCTAAAAACCCTCCAAATGGGACAGGGGGAACTTCTGAAGCTTCCCTCTCCCTCTGTTGTTGACTGTTGGTGTGATATTTATATTTTTTTTCACTGATTAAACAAACAACAGCTATAAAACTTGCCCCAGACATGCGGAAATAATAACGAAACGATTTCGATACGAATACGAAGCAATTACGAAACGAATTGAAAAATTCGTTTCGTTTTTTAGATGCTCCTGAATGGTTCATTATCGCTTCGTAACCCAAAAAAAAAAAAATAACGAATTTTTAACGAATTACGAAATTACGAAACGAAACCGCCCAGCCCTAATACATAGTATAAGTTGTAACGGAATGATAAGAAATATGCTTAAAGATGTATTTGATTATTTTTACTGTTAGATTGTATATAATATGACAAATTCTTCTATCTAAGATGTTGTAAAAAGAGGGAAGAATGTATGCTTATACATGTTTGATAAATGTATAATAATTTTTTTTAAAAAAAAATTAATAACTTTGTCATTTCCACAGGTGATGAAGCCCAGTTCGACATGGACATCTGAAGCCCGTCTCGGAGAAGACTTGCGGATTTTCCCCAGTGAAGACACGAAATCAACCGCGCTTCCAGAACGAGGGAGGCTTGTAGAATAGCCTACACTTCACAAATCTTTTCAGGACGGAAGGTCCATTATTTTTTGTTATTGTTGTCGTTCTTATTCAGAGAACAAGAAGAGACTTTCTGTTACCAAAGGTTGGAAAACTTTTTTGTGTCGGAGAGGCGGAGGAGCCTGGGAGAGGAGGGAAGTCTGTGCCTTGGTTCGTGTGCCTTGTTCACCGACATCCGTGTTCCCAAACAGGGGACTGCATTAAAGGACAGACATAAAATCATGTTGGATTTAGGGGATTAATGTAGATTAAGGCATGATGCACAAAAGTGGCAACATGGTGATTCGCAGAGCCGTATCGTTAAACCAAAATAATAATTTTCTGGCTTAATACTTTTCCATTGCCATCAGCACCAAATCTGGGAGGGGAGGAAGCCTGATTTTAAAAGGAAAATGCTTTTGGAACATTTCTCCTGTTTTCTTTCTGCGTCTACTTCGTCTGGTGCTGCAGTAAACAAACTGACCGCCGATATGAGTGGATCCAGATCAGTTTCAGCCTTCCTTTCCTTACGGGGAAACAAAACAGCCTCCCTGTATAAAAGGGTTCAAACAAAAGTGGCTTTTCGAAAACTTTTTGCACAAAGTTCTTGATATGCTATAGAGAAATGGGTAGCTTGCACTATTTTTCTTTCTCTTGAAGGGCTACATAAATGCTCATGTTGGATCTATGCACATCCTTCTCTGTACATTACATGTAAAATAAAGAAACGAAGAAAATATTATACTTGTCTCGCATGTTATACTGTTTACTAATTGTTCAGTAGCAGTTGGTGACATTCATACACTACCAACAGTGTAAAGGTTACTTACTTACGCGATCCTTCGTAGTCCTCCCGCCAGCTTCACAAGCACGGCTGGCGGGGACGAGAGACAGGGCCTTCTCGGTGGTGGCTCCCCGGCTGTGGAACGCCCTTCCCGCAGACATTAGATTAGCTCCATCTCTAATGGTTTTCCGCAAAAAAGTAAAGACCTGGTTATGTAGGCAGGCGTTCGAATAATTAGTGCAATGACTGGTAATGACATAGGAATGGAACAATGGATGACGAATCTGGATCGTGTTTTTTAGTGATGAGACGCCAGTGAATGGTTATTATAGTAATTGTGTATTAATTGTGTATTAGATTAGGTTATTAACTGTTTTATGTTGGTGTTTGAATTTTGCTGTGTCCTGTGTCTTGTGAACCGCTGTGAGTCGCCTTCGGGCTGAGAACAGTGGTATAGAAGTAAAGTAAATAAATAAATAGTCCGAGGATGATGGTCCGTAGGTGACTGTGGAGCCCTATTCATAAAATCATAGAATCAAAGAGTTGGAAGAGACCTCATGGGCCATCCAGTCCAACTCCCTTCCAAGAAGAAGGAATATTGCATTCAAATCACCCCTGACAGATGGCCATCCAGCCTCTGTTTAAAAGCTTCCAAAGAAGGAGCCTCCACCACACTCCGGGGCAGAGAGTTCCACTGCTGAACGGCTCTCACAGTCAGGAAGTTCTTCCTCATGTTCAGATGGAATCTCCTCTCTTGTAGTTTGAAGCCATTGTTCCGCGTCCTAGGCTCCAGGGCAGCAGAAAACAAGCTTGCTCCCTCCTCCCTGTGGCTTCCTCTCATGTATTTATACATGGCTATCATATCTCCTCTCAGCCTTCTCTTCTTCAGGCTAAACATACTCAGCTCTTTAAGCCACTTCTCATGGGACTTGTTCTCCAGACCCTTGATCGTTTTAGTCGCCCTCCTCTGGACACATTCCAGCTTGACAATCTCTCTCTTCAATTGTGGTGCCCAGAATTGGACACAATATACCAGAGTCCACTCTCAATTTCTAAGTCAAAGAGCCAGCGTTGTCTGTAGACACCTCCTAGGTCATGTGGCCAGCATGACTGCATGGAGCACCGTTACCTTCCTGCAGAAGCAGTACCTGTTGATCTACTCACATTTGCATATTTTCAAACTGCTAGGTTGGCAGAAGCTGAAGCTAACAGTGGGAGCTCATTCCACTCCCTGGATTCAAACCAACCTTTCAGTCAGCAAGTACAGCAGTTCAATAGTTTAACCCGTTGCGCCACCAGGAGGCCCCCACACTACCAATAACAATGAATAATATATAATAAGAAGAATATACTTTATTTATATTCAGCTATATCTGAATATATAGCTGAATATATATTCAGATTTATTTATTTATTTATTTATTTATTTATTTATTTATTTGCCTTACTTATATACCGCTGTTCTCAGCCCGAAGGCGACTCACAGCGGTTCACAACAAATACGAACAGCAAAAATTCAGTGCTACAGTATAGAAATAGTTAACAACCTAACACATTACACAATTAATAAACAGTTACTACAATACCCATTCACTGTCGTCTCGTCATCAAAAACATGTTCCAGATTCGTCATCCATTGTTCCATTCCAGTGTTCATTAACCAATCATTGCAATAATTATTCGAACGCCTGCTCAAACAGCCAGGTCTTCACCTTTTTGCGGAATACCATTAGAGATGGTGCTAGTCTAATGTCCGTAGGAAGGGCGTTCCACAGCCGAGGAGCCACCACCGAGAAGGCCCTATCTCTCGTCCCGCCAGCCGAGCTTGAGAAGCAGGCGGGATCGAGAGC